AGCTGTGTGGGTGTTTACAGATTGTTAGGTGCTCCTGGCTGTTACTAGTATCATTACTGAATGATCCTCTTCAACCCTAATGTCTCTGTCTTTTACTAAACCGAGTTTGATATGACTATTGCTGCCAATCATTCTTTGGCTAGAATTTTGCTGGTCTATCATTTTTAATAACTTTCCTTCCAGCCTATTAGATATGTCATGCTCTTTATTTCCCATGTCTCTTATTTGCCCCTTCCTCTTCTTTCTGTCATTCAATTTCATTTTCTTTATTCTAATCCCCTGCTTTCCCCATTTGTAGAAACATTCTGTTTCCATATCTCTATGATTACTTTGAACTTCTCCAGACATCTTCTAGCCCAAGCTGTGATGGAGCAAAGTTACAAACAAGCTGATAAGTGATTTTAAGCATTTCTTATATACACAGAGTTGGGAGAATTGTGGTCTTTGAAATCTTAGCTTAACATGATTGTTTATCTTAAAATTAATATGACTAATAATGATCTGCAAGCCATGTACTTCAACAATAGTGGGTAAATGAATAAAAACTGCACTGAATTTATATTAATTAAAATATGTTTATATTCATAGTTGTTAAGGTAGGTTCATTTTCTCTTATACAGATGATCAAATTTTATTTTCTTTATTTAAAGGTAAAAAACTATGTAAATATGCAAATAGCAAGGTGGATAAAAGAAACCCACACTTTCTCACATATTTAGCCTTTCTTATGCTTTTCATTTCTTACTTTAGATCTCAGCTTCTGTCTTGTACCATTTCTGGTCAGGCTGAAGACCTCCCTTTAGCATTTCTTGTATCACACCTCTGCTAGTATTTACTCTTTATTTATTTGAAAATATTATTATTTTATATTCATGTCTGAAAGATATTTTTGCTGGATACAGAATTTTAGATTGACTTTTTAAAGATGTTTTTCCATCAACTTCTGAAATCCAATGCTTCTGATGAAAAATCACCAATAATTTTAATTGTTGCCTCTATATGTAAATTGCCTTTTTCTGTCAGCTTTGAAGATATTCTTTTTGATTGGTGTTCAACAGTTTAATTACAATGTGTCCAAGTGTTGTTTTGTTTGCTTTTATCCTGTTGTCAGTTTGATGGGCTTCCTGAATCTATGGGTGGCTGTTGCTTCTTACCAAGTAGAAAAACTTTCTAACATATTTCCCTGTTTTCTCACTCCTCCCCTTTTGGGAATCCAATCACACACGTGACTGCTCAATAGGCCACAACTACCAAGGCTTTGTTCATTTTCCCCACTCTCTCTGCTCTGTGTTCCCATTTGCTTGATTTCTTTTGACATGTCTTCAACTTTGCGCATCCTTTCTTTTGCTGTGTGCAATCTACATTAATTCCATTCATTAAGGTTTTTATTGCAGATATTCCATTATTTAGCCCCATTTTGTTCTTTTTACTAGTTTCCAAATCTTTTCTGAAATTCTCCATTCCTTCATCCACTTCATCCATATTTATTTGTAGATTATTTAAAATGTTTTATCATAGTTTTAAAAAAGTCTTTGAGTAATAATTCCAAACTTGGGTAGTCTATAAGTCTGTTTCTAGTGAAAAATTTTCTTTTTGTTTATGCATTGATAATCTGGTGATTTTGTACATCTTGTAATTTTAAAATTTTGTGTCAGAGATTTTGTTTACAGTAGATAACTTTAAAAGAAATGATCTTTCCTTTGTTAGGCAGCTAGCATGAGGGGTTTATCTGTTTCATACATTTAGGAATAGAGCCATTTGGGTGCTTTGTGGCCTTAAACCCTAGCAGAATCTTGAAATTCAAGCTCCAGGAGCTCAGTGAGATATCTCCCCACTTTCCAACTCAGGCCCTAACTACCTTGGCCACTGGAAATATCTTATAAGATTTGAACTGGATGGGGTTCTGTTCAGCTTCGGTTAGTTTCAGTTTATCTCTGGTTTCAAATGCTTTGAGAGTTCACAATCTCCATCCCCCCAGCGGAGCTGCTGGCTTTGAAACTGAGAGATCTTGAAAATATGATACTTAAATGTTGAACCTGAGATCATGAGACCATCGGATTTGGACATCACGGCAATTTGAAACTGTGTGACTGAGACTTTGAGATCTTTTTTTGCCCTCTGTTCTCACATCCCTGCCTCTCCTTACTGAGAAGAATTCCCTGGAAGAGAATTGCCCAGGATGAGTAGAGAGGAGTCCCTGTACTTTCAAGGCTCCCTCAAATTCTAATCTGATATATTAGCCCTGAGGTTTCTTAAACTCAGTTTTTCCTCATCTGAGCATAGATGGTGGCTTGCTTCTCCATCCATCCTCCCTGCATCCCAACTTGCCCAGGATGAGTGTGTCTTCGTTTCTTTGCTCACTTACAGAAAGGCACTGTCTCTCCATAGTTTAGTTATTTTAGATCTTTGTGTATCTACAGCTCTTGGGTGGCTTTAAAAGAAAGGGTAATTGTTTGGGTTTCTCAAGGGATCTCTTGTTTTTGGCAGGAATAAAGGTCTTTCATGCACTTCTTCATCCTAACTGGAAACAGGACTCATCTGTTCACTGGCTCTAAACGATTTGCCAATTTCCTCTGTTGTTCTCTGTTTCGCCCTTTCTCTATTAGAGAATATTTATAACTCACCAAATGCAAAGGTGTTTTTTTTTGGTTGTTGTTATTGATTTCTAGTTTTATTGCATTTCAGTCTTTAGATATCATTTCTTCGGTATTGACACTTTATGGCTAATGGTAAGTTCTGGTCAATTTTGGTAAATGTACATGTATAACAAGAATGTATGTTCTCTAATATTCTATAATTGTATACATTGTTGAGATGAATGACATATATCCTCTAAATGTAAAATGTGACCAGAATTTTATCAGATTTGAGTTAATTTGGGAGAATGATCCGTGTATGTTTGGGAAGGATGTGTATTCTAATGCTGTTGGGCTGAGCACTTATGCATTCCTATCATGCACTCCAGTACATCTAAGGAGTATGTGGTCTGCTTATCCTGTTTGCTCTGGAGGGAGGTGAAATCGGCTGCTATGTTTAGGAGTCACTCCTTGGAATTCCCTCAATTTGTGCTTCAGTCATTTGCCAGCTGTGTGGGTGTTTACAGATTGTTAGGTGCTCCTGGCTGTTACTAGTATCATTACTGAATGATCCTCTTCAACCCTAATGTCTCTGTCTTTTACTAAACCGAGTTTGATATGACTATTGCTGCCAATCATTCTTTGGCTAGAATTTTGCTGGTCTATCATTTTTAATAACTTTCCTTCCAGCCTATTAGATATGTCATGCTCTTTATTTCCCATGTCTCTTATTTGCCCCTTCCTCTTCTTTCTGTCATTCAATTTCATTTTCTTTATTCTAATCCCCTGCTTTCCCCATTTGTAGAAACATTCTGTTTCCATATCTCTATGATTACTTTGAACTTCTCCAGACATCTTCTAGCCCAAGCTGTGATGGAGCAAAGTTACAAACAAGCTGATAAGTGATTTTAAGCATTTCTTATATACACAGAGTTGGGAGAATTGTGGTCTTTGAAATCTTAGCTTAACATGATTGTTTATCTTAAAATTAATATGACTAATAATGATCTGCAAGCCATGTACTTCAACAATAGTGGGTAAATGAATAAAAACTGCACTGAATTTATATTAATTAAAATATGTTTATATTCATAGTTGTTAAGGTAGGTTCATTTTCTCTTATACAGATGATCAAATTTTATTTTCTTTATTTAAAGGTAAAAAACTATGTAAATATGCAAATAGCAAGGTGGCCTCTAAATTTTATTTTGTGTTTATTAAATATTTGTGCATATGCAGCAATATTAAAGAGTAATATTCATATGGCATTTTCATAAGATAAGCAATTTTATAAGTAGAAGGGGGATGACTATGATTAGAATGGAAGGAAAAAGAAAATTAATAGAAGAAGGCACAATAGTAGGTCAGCATATACTTCAAGACATGCCTTTGAAAGGCAACAGCTGCTTTCAGAAAGATTATTTCCTGTTCAGTCGTTTATGTCTCCTGACAGGCACCCTTCTCTGCTTTTTCCCTCTGTCAATCAACACCCTTTAAATATGCAAAAAGTACATGATCCCAAGGGAAAGTATCCTCCAGTAGCACACTGACATGTGCTAATTGTATCTGGTTAGAGGTATGGGGGTGCTTTCCCTTCATGCAGGGAGTCAAACCTAGGACATATTTGGTCATCTCTCTACCATGGTCATTCTAGCTAAAAGACATTCAAAGAACTTAATAAATCAAAGTAGCCTAGTGGTAGTTTAAAAAAAAGCCCCAATTCAATATCAATGGAGTAATAAAAAAGGTGCTGATCTTATTTTCTGAGATCTAGCCATGGATCTTTCCAGCTGCTCACTGCAGTACATCCACAACTTGGCAGTTACTAGTTTTAACGTTGCCTCCAAAATAATCCACAGTAAAAATATCCCTCAAAATAAACCAAATACCTGAGAAATTCATTAAGCAGAGTTTATTATATGTATTGGAGCTGCACCAATGAACTGCCTCTGAGATAATCGTTCAGGAGGCGATTTAGTTCCTCCATTCAAAGGCTGCAGTGAAAGCTCCCTGTGGGGGCCCAGAATGGACGTTTACAGAGGAGGGGGCTCTGTGCCCCTGGCAGGCCCAGGGCCCTGGTGCTGTGACACAGAGCCTTGCTTCAGCCGGTATTTCGGACCACGGGAAGAGGAACCAGTGCCCATGTGAGCCCGGAAATGGAGGGGCTGGAAAGTGATTAAACTCCTCTGAAAAATGGCTGAGGTTACAATTTATTTTTATTTTTCATAATCTCACAGCTTTCTTTCAGGAAGAAAGCAACAAATGTTCACTTGAGTTATGTGTGTTTTCATGACTGGTTTAATTTCAAATGCTCAGAATATTTCCTCGTCTAAAATCCCACGTGGGCAGCTTAAACATTTCCGGGGACCTGCCTCCTCTGTCCAGGCAAGAACAGCAGGTGCGGCCTGCAGGGCAGGTACTCACACAGGCCTCTCCCTGCAGGCGCTGCAGGGCCTGCCCCGCCGGGACCAGGAAGGCAGTGAGGCAGCGCAGCCCATCCCCGCCGTGGAGCCTCTCGGCCACACTGAAGAGCTGCCAGAGCACTGTGGCCGCTGTGGCCTCGAAAGGAGGGTACAGCGCAGACACTGTGTTCTGTATATAGGTGTCCAGGGATACCAGGTCCTGAAATGGAAGAGGGGTCAGGTAGACATCAGGACAGGTGTACACGGTCTCTCAGGTGGCACCAGGGGTCTGTCGTGAAGGTGCTGGTGTCATGCACAGCATGTGAGATATCTGCAGATACAGGGTCCTCAGCAGAGAGGGAAGGCCCTCTTGGGGAAAATAAAAATACCATTTGACCCAGGAACTCCACTCCTAGGAATTTACCCAAAGAAAGCAACTTCTCAGATTCAAAAAGACATATGCACCCCTCTCTTTATCGCAGCACTATTTACAATAGCCAAGATATGGAAGCAACCTGAGTGTCCATCAGTAGATGAATGGATAAAGAAGAGATGGTACATATATGCAGTGGAATACTATTTAGTCATAAGAAAGAAACAAATCCTACCATTTGCAACAACATGGATGGAGCTAGAGGGTATTATGCTCAGTGAAATAAGTCAGGCAGAGAAAGACAAATATCAAATGATTTCCCTCATTTGTGGAGAACAGTGAAGCAAAACTGAAGGAACAAAACAGCAGCAGACTCACAGACTCCAAGAAGGGACTAGCAGTTACCAAAGGGAAGGGGTGTGGGAGGGTGGGTGGCGGGGGAGGGAGAAGAGGATTGTTTAGTATCATGACTGGTGCACATGGTGTATGTGGGGTCCGGGGGAAGATAGTGTAGCTCAGAGAAGACAAATAGGAACTCTGTGGCATCTTACTACACTGACGGACAGTGACTGCAATGGGGTATCGGGGGCTTGATAAAAAGGGTGAATGTAATAACCACATTGTTTTTCTTGTGAAACCTTCATAAGAGCATATATCAATGATACCTTAATAAAAAAAAAGAATAAAAAATTGAAAGAATATTTCCCAATTTATGAATTTAGAATAAATTTTGATACTAAAATTTCACAAGGATAGAACAAGAAAGGATAGCATAGGCCAATCTCTTGTATAACGTAGGTGCAGAAACTCTAAAATATCCAGTAAATTGGATCTAATAATGTATAAAAATGGTAATTCTCCATGATGAAATTGGTTTTGTCTCAGGAAAGCAAGGCTAATTCAACATTAGAAGGTTAATTAATATAATCCACTATCAACAGATTAAAGGACAAAAAATCATACAGTCATCGCCATTGCAACAGAAAAGGCATTTGAGAAGTCAGCCTCTTACTCTGAAGTCAGAGGTGCTCACAGCTACCAGTTCTGCTCCTGGACATGTCCAGTGGAAAGGTGCTGTGCGTGATACTGGGAGACATGTACAGAACATTCATGGCAGCACTATTGTTAGTAATCAAGAAGTAGAGATGACCCAGCTGTGCACCAGAGGAGAATGGACAAAGTGTAGAGTTTCATGCCCTGAAGGCCATGTGGAAAAGGAGGGACGAACTGTAATCCAGTGTGTGTTCACAGACATGCACACACCACCACGCCCATCAGTGCACCTCACAAACACAACTCAGGTCTCAAAACCAGGGAAACTGAGTTCTGTTAGTAGTTGCACATGTGGGTGAGGAAGCAAGGCCACACTCCACTGTGGGGGCAGTGATGGCCTCGGGGTCAGCAGTGTGGCCAGGATACGGCACTGCAGAAGCACCTAGGATCCTCAGTGCATGCACCTGGGTGATGGCTAACTGAAGAGATATGCATCGATTTATATCCTCTTTTGATTACATAACATATCACAATAAGAGAGAAAAAATAATTAACAGGGACAAAAACGGTGCCTGATCTTGAATCCAGAGAGCTACGCCTGCACTGCCAGGACCTGAGCTCCCTCTGGGTGTGCAGGACCCACTTCCTGAATTCGACCTCCTACTGAATCCTGACTCCAGGGCCTCTTATACCACCTTTTTGCTTCTGGAGAAGGCTGAGTACCCAGGCCTGTAGTCAGAGGTCAGGCCTGGGTAGCAAGGAGGGCAGTCCCTTCCCCACCCAAGCTCCAGAGCCTTCCCACTCCCCACCACCCCGTCGCCCTTGCAACCTGGGCTCCGCTGTGCCTGGACTGATGCTCTCTCAGGTCTCTCCCCGGGCTGAGCTCAGCAGAGAGTGTGCATATTAGTCACACTTAGGTAATAGCTGCTTGAAATATGTGACAGAGTTCCCAGAGTGACAGAGTGTGGGGACAGGAACAGGTGTTCCCTCCTGGAGCAGAAGACCATGTGCGGAAGGCAGGTGTCTGTCAGATGACAGGAGTAACCTGCAAGCTGCACTGACATGTGCTAACTGCATCTGGTTAGAGATATGGGGGTGCTTTGCAGAGGGAAGGCTTCAGCTGACATCTGCAGGTGAGCAGGTGTTGGGCATGGGGTGGGGAGAGCATCCAGATATCAGGAAGAGCGTGTGCAAAGTCCCCGTGGGCACAATGTGCGCATCTGCAGGCTCCGAGCTCCACCACCTGGTTCTCCCCTCACGGTCCACGGATGCAGCCAAAGCAGACCTGACAGGGCAGAAACAGGGGCTCTCTGTGCCTCAGAGCCCATACTGGGGCTATGCCCAGAGGATGAGGCAGGCCTCCCCATGTGCTGAAATAACTCACATTGCATGGCAGTCAGAGTGTTTACCTCAGTGGGAGGGGAGGCCCTGAGCTTCCCTTTGTTAGAGTAAAGCCCTGGGAAGGACGGGATGAGTGTGAGCAGACTGCCCCCATGCTCCTGTTGAGCTCTCTGAGGGGCAATGGGTGTGCAGGTTAGGACGGGTGTTTTCTAAATCCTTCAACATATTCGGGTTTGACTGTTCCTGCACTGGGAGTAGGCAGGCTGTGCTGCACGACTGTACCATAGTGGTAGAGTTCCTACCTGATTCTTGGAAAAATTAGCAAATTACTGTGTTAAAAACTTTTCTTTCTTTTTTTTTTTATTTTGGTATGATTATTCTACAATTACATGAGGAACAACATTATGTTTACTAAACTCCCCACCTCACCAAGTCCCCCCCACATACCCCATTACAGTTACTGTCCATCAGCGTGGTAAAATGCTATAGAATCACTACTTGTCTTCTCTGTGTTATACTGCCCTCTCTGTGCCCCCCACTCTCTGCATTATGTGTGTGAATCATAATGCTCCTTTTCTCCCCTTATCCCTCTCTTCCCACCCATCCTCCCCAGGCCCTTTCCCTTTGGTAACTGTTAGTATATCCTTGGGTTCTGTGATTCTGCTGCTGTTTTGTTCCTTTAGTTTTTTCTTTGTTCTTATATTTCACATATGAGTGAAATCATTTGATACTTACCTTTTTCTGCCTGGCTCATTTCTGAGCATAATACCCTCTAGCTCCACCCATGCTGTTGCAAATGGTAGGATTTGTTTTCTTCTTATGGATGAATAATATTCCATTGTGTGTATGTACCACCTCTTCTTTATCCATTCAGCTACTGATGGACACTTAGGTTGCTTCCATTTCTTGGCTATTGTAAATAGTGCTGCAATAAACATAGGGGTGCATCTGTCTTTTTCAAACTGGGCTCCTGCATTCTTAGGGTAAATTCCTAGGAGTGGAATTCCTGGGTCAAATGGTATTTCCATTTTGAGTTTTTTGAGGAACCTCCATACTACTTTTGACAATGGTTGAACTAGTTTACATTCTCACCAGCAGTGTAGGAGGGTTCCCCTTTCTCCACATCCTCACCAACATTTGTTGTTGTTTGTCTTTTGGATGTTGGCCATCCTAACTGGTGTGAGGTGATATCTCATTGTGGTTTAAATGTGCATATCCCTGATGATTATCGATGTGGAGCATCTTTTCATGTGCCTGTTAGCCATCTGAATTTCTTCTTTGGAGAAGTGTCTGTTCAGCTCCTCTGCCCATTTTTTAATTGGATTACTTGCTTTTTGTTTGTTGAGGTGCATGAGCTCTTTATATATTTTGGATGTCAACCCTTTATCAATTATGTCATTATGAATATATTCTCCCATACTGTAGGATGCCTTTTTGCTCTGCTGATGGTGTTCTTTGCTGTACAGAAGCTTTTCAACTTGATATAGTCCCACTTGTTCATTTTTGCTTTTGTTTCCCTTGCCCGGGGAGATATGTTCATGAAGAAGTTGCTCATGTTTATGTCCAAGAGATTTTTGCCTATGTTTTCTTCTAAGAGTTTTATGGTTTTATGACTTACATTCAGGTCTTTGATCCATTTTGAATTTACTTTTGTGTATGGTGTTACACAGTGGTCCAGTTTCATTCTCTTACATGTAGCTGTCCAGTTTTTCCAACACCAGCTGTGGTAGAGGCTGTCATTTCCCCATTGTATATACATGGCTCTTTTATCATATATTAATTGACCGTATATGTTTGCATTAATATCTGGACTCTCTTGTCTGTTCCACTGGTCTGTGGCTCTGTTCTTGTGCCAGCACCAAATTTCTTGATTACTGTGGCTTTGTAGTAGAGCTTGAAGTTGGGAAGCGAGATCCCTCCTGCTTTATTCTTCCTTCTCAGGATTGCTTTGGTAATTCAAGGTCTTTTGTAGTTCCATATGAATTTTAGGATGATTTTCTCTAGTTTGTTGAAGAATGCTGTTGGTATTTTGATAGGAATTGCATTGAATCTATAGATTGCTTTAGGCAGGATGGCCATTTTGACAATATTAAATGTTAATATTAAATCTTCCTATCCATGAGCATGGGATGTGTTTCCATTTATTGGTATCTTCTTTAATTTCCCTCATGAGTGTCTTGTAGTTTTCAGAGTATAGGTCTTTTGTGGTTCCATATGAATTTTAGAACTATTTGTGCCAGTTCATTGAAGAATGCTGTTGTTATTTTGATAGGGACTGTGTTGAATCTGTAGATTGCTTTAGGCAAGATGGCCATTTTGACAATATTAATTCTTCCTAGCCAAGAGCATGGGATGAGCTTCCATTTGTTAGTGTCCTCTTTAATTTCTCTTAAGAGTGTCTTGCAGTTTTCAGGGTATAGGTCTTTCACTTCCTTGGTTAGGTTTACACCTAGGTATTTCATTTTTTTTGATACAATTGTAAGTGGAATTGTTTTCCTGATTTCTCTTTCTGCTAGTTCATCGTTAGTGTATAGGCAAGCATCAGATTTCTGTGTATTAATTTTGTATCGTGCAACTTTGCTGAATTCAGATATTCTAGTGGTTTTGGAGTGGATTCTTCAGGGTTTTTTATGTAAAATATCATGTCACCTGCAAATAGTGACAGTTTGACTTCTTTACGAATCATGTGTTTTGTATGATTTCCGTTGTTCGGACCTCGAGGACTATGTTTAATGACAGTGGGGAGAGTGGGTATCCCTGTCTTGTTCCCGGGGCTGTAATTTTTGAGCCCTATGGCTGCCCGCCCCCCAACTGACGGTCATCTCGGCCAATGAGCGCGGGGCGCCGCAGAGCAGACAGCTATTGGGCGAGAGCGCAGATCACGTGAGTCCGGCGGCTGCGTAGTAGCTGCAGGCGCCTCCGCCGCCTTATTCAACAGTCGGTAGTGTCGCGAGCGCGCGGAGAGTAGCAGCTGCTGCTGCTCTCTCCGTGCTTGGGTCTGCCGGCCCGGGGAGGAGCGGCCCGCGCCGTCCCGTCCACGCAGCGGGCCCGGCGTAGACCAGATGCTGACGGACCCGCGCCGTGCTCGGCTGCGCTGTCCTCCCGGTGCGCATGCGGGGGCGGCACCGACCTCGCCTCCGGCCTCGGATCGCCGCCTCGCAGCCGCTGGGCTCCCGGCGCCGCACTCTCCCCTTCTCGGCTCTCCTGCGGCGGGCGGAGGGCGGCGATCGGCCCGCACTTGGCCGGTGCCCTGGCCGGACTTCAGGGAGCTCGGCCGAGAAGCGGCTCCGCTGCGGCACATCTGCGGTGGAGGGTACAGAGCGGGCCCTGCTTCAGGGCGAAGGCGACAGCGACCGCTCTGCGGGCCGGAAGGTACGTGGCCGCGGGGCGCGGGGACCCCTGCCTCCGCCTGAGGGTGCGGGGGAGCCGGACGAGGGGGCGGCCGTGCGAGGGGCTCGGCGGGCAGCGCGTGCCCCGCGGGGCCGGGAAGTGGCTGATGCGGGTGGTTGGCTTCGGGGCCCGGCCGGGGTTCGGGAGTTGGCGGAGGAGGGGCCGCCCGGGAAGGGAGGGAGCGGAGCAGGTGCGCCCGGGGCGGGCGCCCGAGCGGCCGGCGAGCCGGGGCGTGGGGGGCGGGGGGAGCGCCGGAGCCGCTGCTCCTCTGTCGGGGCCCGGGTGGTGAGGGCGGCTGCTCTCCGCCCCGCCGCGCGCGTCCTCCGGCCCGGGGCCACGCCGCCGACCTGCTCCCGCCGCCCGGGCCGGGGCCGCGCAGACGGGGGGGCCGGTGGGCGTTGTGCCGTGTGGGGGATTTCTCGGCGGGGGCCTCGAGGGCGAGGACCGGGCGGGCTGAGGTTCAAGTGTGACCCGCGGCGGGGCGGCGGGCGAGGGGCCACCTGGAGGCAGCGCCTTTAAAATTAAAAATTTTTTCATGAGGTACTTATCGTGTTTTTCATTTGGGAATGAAGTTTCTTTACTTTGATCTGGGGACTGACAGTGCAGTTTCTTGTATTTAGAAATTCGTATCTTTCTGTCATTTCGGTGTGTCTGCAGCTGAGTAAGTTATAACTAGCCACAGAGATTCTGAGACAGGGACCGCGGGTGTAGTCAGAGTAGGGTGGGGGCCTCTGGAAAAAGACCCCTACCCAAACCTCGTATTAAACAATTCAGCGAAGTCAGAGTCATTAATTCTCTAAATTAAAATATCAAACTGGGAATATAAGCATTCTTCAGTGAAGATCAGTTTTAACTAAAAAGCCAGGAGTAACTTGGCCTGGAATGGTTGAACGGATATCCCCCAGATAAGAAAATACCTCAGCACAGCCCATGTCTTCATTGCGTCAATTAAATGAGGCTACTGTGAAATTTACTTTGCCCACTAAAAGGCCCAGTTTATCTTTAACTTTGCCCAAATGCTGCTTTTCCTCCTCCAGCCCCTAATAAAGTACTATATAACCTGGGCAACTAATATGGCAAGTAAGCCCAGCCACAGACAACAAAGTTAAAGGCAGGAAGCATCCCATCTTAAAGATAAGATTGCATTTTAACACCCAGGACATTAAGAAGTAAGATTCTTAACTTACTCTTTAGCAAACAGACAAGACCTCAGCCCACCTTTGGAGAACTGTCCGGAGGGGTGGAGGAGGAGGGGGAGAGGGGTGGGGTGGGGGCTGAGCAGCGTTCAGAGGGGTCGTGGGATCAGGGTTTGGAAGGCCAGGTGCTGTGTTTACAGGTGCCTCCTGCTAGGGCAAGCCGCGTGTGTGCCAGTCCCTCAGTCCCAGGACTGAGTCACCTCCTGTGTGCAAAACCATTGTTCATACTAGAGTCTTTATTTTGTGAAAGAATCCCCTACAGGATCCCTGAGAATGGCGAGCTCCTCCCACCCCATTCCCCTCAGTAAGGGTAAAATAAGGTTGACAGGTTACACTCCCAAACACCCCGACTTAGAGCACCCACTGTGCACCTGTGAGAAGCCCCAGGAGGGTGAAGTCTGCGGCTATGTAAGGCATTGGGAGAATGGGGGCAGTGTGCGTGTGCGTGTCTACCCTCAAGTGTCTGAGCCCTTCTGGGTTCCTGACAGGCTGTATGGCCTTAACTCAGTCCCTTTTCTTCTTTGAGCTAGTGACTAAGTTGAACTAGATAGTCTCTGCAGCCCCTGCTTGCCCCTACTCTTTCAGAAGTGTGTTTGATAGAAGTTTCACGGAAGTGGTGAGGGCTTGCAGAAATTGGAATTGACATGAGGAAAGAGTTCAGCCTTCCTTGGGGACCGTGGTCTAGAAAAGGCCTAGACATCTCGAAGGGCATGTGTCTGTAAAGAAATGAGAGGCAGAATCTAAGGCTGGGGATCAGTGCCCACCTCTGAGAGCCAGGCAGATAGCAGGTATGAATGTACTTGTGAGTGGTTGAGTGCTGTGCCAACATTCCTGAAGCACTGTTGCTCTTGTGAAAGTCCCTCCCCCTCCCTATAATAATTTTACACCTTTCTTCCATCTGCCTCTCTGCTGTGCTGAGGCCCCCAGGAAGGAAACACTGATGGGATGTGGAAGCTACAGGAGGGCTGGTGGCAGGGATGAGCACATGAGCAGGTTTTGGCATAAGCTCCCCTGCACTCCTAGTACAGGCAAAGCCAGGTGGCAGGAGTTCTGTAGGGAACCCCTGGCTTCCAGTCCAATATGATGGAGGCAACGTCTCCACCCACCCCATCCCAACAAAATATTGCAGACACCTCCTCCTCTCAGGGCCTGGAAGGGCAGGCAGGAAATGGATGGGGCTTCTGGTTGGCTCTTGGGGCACTAAGACTGTGATCTGTAAAGCAGTTCTCACCTGTCAACTGAAGCCTGGTCAGGTTTGCAAAGTGCATATATGCTCACTAGGGAAGAAAAACAGAAAGAGAAAGGAGGCACCTCTAATGCCTCTCAGGCCTATGTTCCCACCTCCCATATCATATATCTAAGGCAAAGAGCACTGCCTCCAAGTCCATCACCTCCCTGAAAGTTGTCAAATATCACCCTGTCTGGTCCCCAGTATAAAAATCCATACCTAGCCTTCCCAGACTTGTGGAAACAATATCCTCCTTAGACAAACCAAGGGTGACAATAACTGAGCTTTAAAAGTATAATAACTGACACCTCACTTCAGGAGGCTGCCTCCAGAGTATTCTTAGGAATCTGGACTTCCCAGGAATCTGTTGGAACTTAGAATGTTCTAGGGCTCTTACCATCTCCCCTGGTGCTGTAGGCTTTTCTAGCATACTTCCTTCACAACTCTTGTCATGATGTGCCATAACTCTTAACAGTTAGTTATTGGGATGTGTGTTTGGTGTCCACCTGCCAGCCTGACTGTAAGCTTTTGGAAGGCTGGGAGTGGATCTGTGTGGTTGCTCCGCTGGCACATAGTAGAAGCTCACTAACAGCAGTTGGTTCAGTTAGTTAATTAGTAATATGAAACACACTTTATGGTACACCCCAAATTAATTAATTGCAATGTTTTTTAAAAAAGAATCTACTAAATCCTCACGTCAGGACAGTTCTTTGACTTGCAAAGGCCTTCTCAAAATTTGAATGAAGTGGTCATGTGGCTGAGGCACACAAGACCAAGTTATCTATCTAGATCATAAGTTGTCTACCTGATAAATTACAGCAAACATCTTATGAATTAAAGCAAACACAACTATATATGAATTAGAGTGCAAGATGCATATGTGTTTTTAAGATAAAACATGAGACTTCAAAAATCATTCCAGTAGACCTTTCTTGTCATGCCCCTGTCCCCAGGTGGGTGTGTACACTCTGTCCTGTTGGACTGTTGTCAGGTAAGGAAGACTTAAGAAACGCAGGTCTCATTGCATACGCATAACTACTGTGCAGGAAGTAGGACTGTCATGTCCAGGATACTGGGGAAGAAACTACATTTCAGTATTAATAACATAACTGAAAATCATCAGGCTCTTTCTGTGCACGAGGCACTACCCTCAGCTTTTTACATGGCCTTTCTTAGAACACATGAGCAGACAGCGGCTATGAGCATGTATTATCATTAGTCCCCACCTGGTAGGAAAGCAGGCTTGGCAAGTTTATTAATCATCTAGAGCTGCCATCACAAAATACCAGAGATTGGTTGGTTCAAACAACAGATTTATCTTCTCACTGTTCAGGAGGCTAGAAGACCAAGAGCAAGGTACCATTCAAGTTGATTATCAGTGAGGCCTGCCTCTCTTCTGGGCTTGTAAGTGGCTGCCTTCTCATTGTGTCTTCACATGCCCTTTTCTCTGTGCATGTATGTAGAGAGAGATCTCTAATTTATCTTCCTCTTCTTAGAAAGACATCAGTTTTATTGGATGAGGCTCCATGCTTATGACCTCATTTAACCATAAGGACCCCCCCTGTAGGGCCAAACTCCAATTATAGTCACACTGGGGGTTAAGGCTTCAACATATGAATTGGGGGGATACAGTCCAGTCCAGAGCAGTGGGGTTGGGTTGCTGACATTAACTTGCACAGTCATTTACCATCTGTGAGACAGAACTGACCATGAACCAAAGTCCTGATCTAAGCTTGCTGCTGATGGTCTCCATGGTGGCAGGTGACCTGTCCAAGCCCTAGGACAGGCCCTGTATACCAAGTCTTCCTGCTCCGGGTCCACTGTGCCTCAACTGCACTGTTCAGATCCCCAGGAACAATCACAGCATAGATGCTCAGCATTAAAGTCAACTGACTCAAGAATGAGAACAAACCTGGGAAGCAGGATTTCTCTTCTAACAGGATATGCGTCTCCCCATGAGTAAAGCAGGATCCATATGATGCAGTAACAGACCCAGAAACCACTATAATGAAATTCCTTCCAGTAGGATTTCACGATTCCTGAATATCATACAAAGAGAATCAGCCTTTGCTGAAGGTAACACTTTCACTTACAGTAATGATTATAGACCATCTTCTGCAGGACAAGTTAATCAACTCTCTATCATATGAGGATAAAATATGGATATTAATAATACCTACTTTTGGGGTTATTGTAAAAATTAAATGCGTGGAAAATACTTCAAACTGCCTAGCATGTGGGACCCACTTAATAAATGATGGCTATTGTAATAATGACAGTATCTTTTCATCAGACTCAACACAATAAAATTGATTTATAGAATTTCACTTGGTTCTTCCACAAGCTGACCTGAACACTTTTGAGTCCTTACTCTGTTTTAAGTACTGGAGAGACAATTTTGTATACAACTCAGAGCTAGGAATCATGTCATATATTCTTCTCTGTGTTCCAGAGCTCCCTCATGGTGCCTGGCCCTTGGGAATCCATCTCTGATCTTCAATAACTGGACCACTATACAACAGCCATTTCTGAGTGACTGATAACATACTAATATATATGCCAACATGTCCATTTTCTCAATCTATTTATTTGTGCCTATTGATTGTGGTTGTGTCTTCACAATTTTGCTTTTGTGAACTTTTTGGTCTACTCAAGGTATCCTCTCTTTACAGTCTTTGATCTACATCTTCTCTGCTTTTTAATGTGCCTTCTTAATGTCCAGGTTTATGTCTGATCTGCCTGGCTCATATGAAGTAACTCATTTCCCCAAAGTTCCTTTCCTTCCAATTCTCAACTAGTTCTTTTTTAAGTAGCTAATTCAGCCCAAGATGGGATTTTCTTTTTGCTGTCTGTATTCTTCGGGAGATCATATTGTCTACCCGGAAACTCAAGAAATAATCTGAAGCTCTGCTTTATAGTATAGTACATGAGATTTTTACTGCTCAAGAGATGATAGAAGAAACCATTCTGTCTTGCCTCTATTAGACCAGCTTTGAGATCCATGTTAGGAAAGCCACATCTTCCCTATCCACAGTGTTCAAGGGCCAAGAACCTGTAACCTGTAGCTTCTTAGCTTCTTCTATGATGAGCTCTTGTCCAGTGACTCACCACCCAACCTCTATCCCCAAGACTATGAATTCCCACACAGATACACCTCTCCCCAGACATCCCAAGTTCATTCTCTACTGCTTCTGTTGGTTACTGTCTTTCAGAAAGGAATTCTTATTGATATTCATCTTTTCCATCCAGATATGTTCCCTGAGGTCATCTTTGCCAGCCTGAAGACTCAGTAGGGGTGATGGTTCAGGAAATGGACAAACTTGGTTTGAGTTAAGACTGCAACTTTCTGGTTGTGCGAAGTTGTGTGAATTGAGTAAATTAACTTCATTTCTCTGAACTTCAGTTTCATTCATTTGAATGCCATGTGGATAGGTAATACATTTGCACATAGGAAACATTCAGTAGTAATAGATGTTGTATTTATCAAATACAATTATTTGAATTTTGGCCATTCTCTGTGATAGCCATATTTCAGAGTCATATGGGGCCATGAGATTTACCCCTACCCTCTCCTGTAGAGGCTTCCAGGCTGCTACACTGGTGGAGGTTCCATTTCCTTATCTACTCAGTCTCCACAGCATTTGGCTCCTCTTTTTCAGTCAAGGTTTTTCCTGCCTGTCCCTCAAATATCACTTTCAAACCCGCCTTTCTCACATGGGTGAGCGCCCTGCCAAATAAGTTCCTCCCTTCCCACCCTCTGCCAGGAGCCTGTCATTATTCCATTCTGATCTTTGGTCAGAAAAATAATCCTGTTTTTGGATACCACCAATTTCTCATACTCTTCCAAAAAAACTTACAACTGAACAAAAAAAGTAAAGCCCCCACCACACACCCACTACCCCTAAGCATTTTCCTCCTTTCTTTCCTGGCCACTCTTCTCAAGCACATGATCGGTGCTTACAGGCTCTTGTCCCTTCCCACATGTCACCCACCCGGTCTCATTCCCAATCACACAGTCTGCAGAAAGCCCACCTTCAGGGTCACAGTGGCTCCATTCTGTCTGATTTTTTGCCTCTTCCAGGCCCCATCTCTTGGACTTCTTGTAGTTCTGCAGTTGTGCTGATCTCTTCTTCCTTTCTAGATGTTTTCTAATTTGCGGGGCTAGAGAAAGCATGGATTTGGGAATCAAGTCAGTCTAGGGTAGATGACCTCTGCTCCATCCCTCCAGGAAGCCTTTCTGCCCCTCCTTGGGCCCCCCCAGCCCCACTGTTACAGATGTTCATAGCCGCTGGGCTCTCTTGCCCTAAGACAAGTTACCCAGCTGAGTCTTGTTCCCTCTGTCTGTAAAGCAGGAAGAATGACACCCAGAAATGGGAGATGGGAATGTGGTAGTGCTTGCCTAGTGCCCAGTGCCTGGCCTCTGGTAGATATTTACTAATTGTTATTTCCCATCTTCCCCCGCCCCCGGCTCACTTGCTTTTTCTTCTTTGATGGTTCTTGCCCCTCTCCTCACCACCACAGCCCTTTCTGTACACTCACTCCCATAGTATATCAAGCCCTCTATAAGGGTAACTGCCAATGTCTATCTTCGGGTGAGTTGGGCTCCACTCCTGCATTGCCTCCTGCTGGGGTACATTTCTATTCAGAGGTCAGCTCAACCTCCGAGTGACCCAATTTTGAACTCATCTTATTCACCACCAAATCAGATCACCCTTCCTGTTTCCCTTTTTCTGCTAACAACACAACCACATGAGGAGCTATTGTAGGAAATGGGGCTGTTTGTGAACAAGACTAAATTTGAAGGGGGGACATGGGATCAGTCCTGTAGAAGAGGTAATAGAAAAACTCTCCAGAAGGCTGCACAAGAGGTTAAACAGGCCAATTTGGGCTTGATCTAGGCAAAGCATACAAATGAAAAGAGCTATTCAATAATAGAAGTGTAGTTCCCAAGGATATAATGAAGCAGATAGGGAAGCCACAGAATTACTCCTTTGGGGACCACAATAATATAAACATTAAGAACTACTGTCACTGAATATTCAAGAGGTTTCCATAGGCATGACTTCTGCAAACTACAGAAACCAGGACTTCTAGGAGTGTATATTTCAACCAAAGCATTCATCTTTTATTTAAACGTACACTCTATCATAACTTTTAATCAGTCTTAGGAATTATCTGAGCTTAAGGATAGAATTGGGAAAGAAGAGGTCCTGATGCAGTTAAAGCCAGTAATTTACAAGTATAGATCTAATCATACCACCTCACCCTTAAATCCTTTTGGTTACACTAGACATCAGATTCTGGGCATGTTTGGCAAAATCCTTAAGCTACAGCACTTGTTGCTGAGAATAAGGAAAGCAAATTAATGTTGTGTGTTGTACTAAGACAGTCTGAAAGCAGCCACAGGCAGAAAAGACCATCATGTTTGGAACCACCCAGAGCAGTGCCTGAGTCAGTGCCACTTCCTGTGTCCTTAGCCAGATCCTTCACCACTTTGAACCTTAGTTTCCTCATCTTAGAACGGAGAATTAAAGACTTACTTGGTCTGGGTTGTGGGGAGGATCGAAGGAGCTAATGACTCCCAGGGCTGGGCACAGAGCCTGATGCCTTAGTAGGCAAGTCATTCATTCATTCATTCATTCATTCCACATATAATGAGTACCTGTTATGTGCTAGTTACCATTTTGGGCACTGGGGGTATACCAGTGAACAGAACTGATAAACATCCCCTCCTTAGGAAGCACACATTCCAGTGGGGAAGGGGCAGGGAGACAGATAAATCAAATCATTAAGGCAGATTTACAGGATGAGAGATAGTGGTTAGTGATAGCAAAGGAATAAAGAGGGGAGGAGAGACAGTGCTTTGGGAGTGTGATGGTGTGGGGGTACAGGACTACTGGTTTAAATAGGGTGGCCAGGTAGGGCCTCACTAGGAGGGCAGCATCTGAGATAAGTAAGACCTGAGGTGATGGAGAAGTGTGTTGCAGGGAGGGGGCCTCAAGGGCAGAGGCCTGATGAGGGCAGAGGGGTGGCAGGGCCAGATCACGTGGGGCCTCAGAGGTCATGGTCAAGTCTTTGGCTTTTCTGTGAGTGAGGTAGGAGCCATGGGAGGGTTCTGAGCAGAGGAAGCACTCAATCCCAATGCTGCTGCCTGCAGTGGGCCTCCCCCTCAGCATCCTTTGGTTTCTACGGGAAGGGAGCCTGGCAGCCCCTGACCACGAGGGCTCTAAATAGTGGACAGTCTCAGAGCATGCTGCTCCAGCCTGACTCCTTGGAGACAAACAGGTTTAGACAGTTCTGCCAAGAGGTGGATAAGGAAGAAAAGGGCAAATGCCAAGCTGAAAACAGAACCCAGAAATCCCTTCTCAGCCTTATACTGCCCCATGATCACCCCTTTAATCACTCCATCTCAAAAAAGCAAAATGAGTGGCAGCTTTATTCCAGGCCCTGATGAGTTCTAGCAAGAGTGTAATCGCACAAGTTAAGGGGTGGTGGGAGAAAATTCCATTCAAGACTAGGTCTCAGCTGCCCTCTTTCCCCAGGATGTCACCCTCCAGTCTCCCAATGGCGAGATTCATTGCCTTGTGAGAAACTATTACTTTATTCGGACTCTGCCTATAGCTGGCTGGGTGACCTTGAGCTGGTCACTTGACCCGTCAGAGCCTGTGTTTCCTCATTGGTACCATAGGGTTAGTAATCCTCTTCCTCTAGGGTGGCTATGAGGATGCAATGGGTTGATAATACTTAAACCTTGGTATATGCAAAATACTGGTGATCACTTCCTTCTGCTGACTAGCTGTAACCCCAGGCAAGGCAGGCCAAGTCCTTGATGTCACCTGGCTGGGAGGGCGACCTGGCTAGAAGTGACACACCTGAACTCATGCCTCCCACATCCTTCAGTAACAGAAGCAGGCATCTTGGAGGCCCGAGCCAGCCCTGACAGCCAGCTACTCCCTTCTGAGGCAGTGTCTGCTTCTCTTTCCCTTTGCCCATCTGTTAATTTTCTTACAGGAGCTCAGTTAGTGAGCTCACTGAGAGAGAGCAACTAGGCCCCAAATGGTAGTTTGTCCTTTAAGGGATCATTGCCCTTCTGATTAGATGTGATTATGAGACACTTTAATTACCTCTTGGTGATGGGTAAGTAGGGAAATGGTACCCAAAACAAAGAATATTTCTAGGGCAAAGTTTAGTTATAAAATGTATTTACACCATTGAGTGGGAATGAAGTTCTTGCATTTGCCAATAGCTGATATTCCCTATGGCACTGTTGCCAGCCCTGGGGCTTCCCCTCCTGGAGGCAGGCTGGGCTCCTGGACCACTCTCTGGTCTCACTAAGGCCTCTGGAGCCTTCCCAAAGAGGGTAGAGTTAATGGTGGACTGGGGGGCCCCCCACTGGCCTGAAGGGCTTCTTTGGAAACAGCCTGAGAGTCTGCAGGGCTGAGAACATGGCTCTGTTGTTTAGAATGGCTTCTTGACATTCCTGGGTTGCTACAGACTCCTGGGAGTCATACTGCCCCAGATAGTGGGAAGGACACCAGTGAGACCTTGGTGACCCTCCATTCTGGCCTGCCCAGGGCAGCCATCCTGCTCTTACTCTGTCCTGTTGTCCTCTGAAGGACATTTCTTTGTGGCAGACCATATGTTCTGATTTTTGGAATCACAAGAGTCACTTATTTGACAATAGCATATTGATGGCTCTGAGCTAAGCTTTGGAGCTCTTGGTTGCTATAGTGAGAGCAGAAGGACTGTGAGTCTGTGGTTGTACACAGTGGGGCCGGGACAACCCAACTTGTCCCCTGGCCTCCTGTTTGGAGGAATTTCATGCTCCAAGTGGTAGGGAAGAGGATTCCTGACATTCATCTGCCTGATCAGCCAACCTTTCCAGCATGTATGTCCCCCTGTCACCTTGGTACAGGAACCCCCTTGGCTGGCCTGGCCTCCCGGAACCTCTCACACACCTTACTTATGGTCTTCCCACCTGCATGTGTGCTGCTTGGCTCTGGAGTCCTCTCTGCAGGTCAGAAGCCTGTCCGTCTGTCAGGGTCTGGTTCATGTTCTTTCCAGGTGTCCTCCTTTCACGGGAAAGGCTGTTTGCCTCGAGAAGACAACCATATAATGTTAGAACCAGGTGGCCCTGAAAGATCACTGCATAGCAGTTTTCAAACTGTTGTTGTGGAACCCTGTTGGGAACACCCTTTCAGGGCCTGGGGCTGGGCAGGCCCTGCTCACTGGAGCAGTGACACTTTTCCTTAAGGTGTCCTTGAAGGAAGATTATCAGTGAGGCCTGCCTCTCTTCTGGGCTTGTAAGTGGCTGCCTTCTCATTGTGTCTTCACATGCCCTTTTCTCTGTGCATGTATGTAGAGAGAGATCTCTAATTTATCTTCCTCTTCTTAGAAAGACATCAGTTTTATTGGATGAGGCTCCATGCTTATGACCTCATTTAACCATAAGGACCCCCCCTGTAGGGCCAAACTCCAATTATAGTCACACTGGGGGTTAAGGCTTCAACATATGAATTGGGGGGATACAGTCCAGTCCAGAGCAGTGGGGTTGGGTTGCTGACATTAACTTGCACAGTCATTTACCATCTGTGAGACAGAACTGACCATGAACCAAAGTCCTGATCTAAGCTTGCTGCTGATGGTCTCCATGGTGGCAGGTGACCTGTCCAAGCCCTAGGACAGGCCCTGTATACCAAGTCTTCCTGCTCCGGGTCCACTGTGCCTCAACTGCACTGTTCAGATCCCCAGGAACAATCACAGCATAGATGCTCAGCATTAAAGTCAACTGACTCAAGAATGAGAACAAACCTGGGAAGCAGGATTTCTCTTCTAACAGGATATGCGTCTCCCCATGAGTAAAGCAGGATCCATATGATGCAGTAACAGACCCAGAAACCACTATAATGAAATTCCTTCCAGTAGGATTTCACGATTCCTGAATATCATACAAAGAGAATCAGCCTTTGCTGAAGGTAACACTTTCACTTACAGTAATGATTATAGACCATCTTCTGCAGGACAAGTTAATCAACTCTCTATCATATGAGGATAAAATATGGATATTAATAATACCTACTTTTGGGGTTATTGTAAAAATTAAATGCGTGGAAAATACTTCAAACTGCCTAGCATGTGGGACCCACTTAATAAATGATGGCTATTGTAATAATGACAGTATCTTTTCATCAGACTCAACACAATAAAATTGATTTATAGAATTTCACTTGGTTCTTCCACAAGCTGACCTGAACACTTTTGAGTCCTTACTCTGTTTTAAGTACTGGAGAGACAATTTTGTATACAACTCAGAGCTAGGAATCATGTCATATATTCTTCTCTGTGTTCCAGAGCTCCCTCATGGTGCCTGGCCCTTGGGAATCCATCTCTGATCTTCAATAACTGGACCACTATACAACAGCCATTTCTGAGTGACTGATAACATACTAATATATATGCCAACATGTCCATTTTCTCAATCTATTTATTTGTGCCTATTGATTGTGGTTGTGTCTTCACAATTTTGCTTTTGTGAACTTTTTGGTCTACTCAAGGTATCCTCTCTTTACAGTCTTTGATCTACATCTTCTCTGCTTTTTAATGTGCCTTCTTAATGTCCAGGTTTATGTCTGATCTGCCTGGCTCATATGAAGTAACTCATTTCCCCAAAGTTCCTTTCCTTCCAATTCTCAACTAGTTCTTTTTTAAGTAGCTAATTCAGCCCAAGATGGGATTTTCTTTTTGCTGTCTGTATTCTTCGGGAGATCATATTGTCTACCCGGAAACTCAAGAAATAATCTGAAGCTCTGCTTTTTAGTACATGAGATTTTTACTGCTCAAGAGATGATAGAAGAAACCATTCTGTCTTGCCTCTATTAGACCAGCTTTGAGATCCATGTTAGGAAAGCCACATCTTCTCTATCCATAGTGTTCATGGGCCAAGAACCTGTAACCTGTAGCTTCTTAGCTTCTTCTATGATGAGCTCTTGTCCAGTGACTCACCACCCAACCTCTATCCCCAAGACTATGAATTCCCACACAGATACACCTCTCCCCAGACATCCCAAGTTCATTCTCTACTGCTTCTGTTGGTTACTGTCTTTCAGAAAGGAATTCTTACTGATACTCATCTTTTTCATTCAAATATGTTCCCTGAGGTCATCTTTGCCAGCCTGAAGACTCAGTAGGGGTGATGGTTCAGGAAATGGACAAACTTGGTTTGAGTTAAGACTGCAACTTTCTGGTTGTGCGAAGTTGTGTGAATTGAGTAAATTAACTTCATTTCTCTGAACTTCAGTTTCATTCATTTGAATGCCATGTGGATAGGTAATACATTTGCACATAGGAAACATTCAGTAGTAATAGATGTTGTATTTATCAAATACAATTATTTGAATTTTGGCCATTCTCTGTGATAGCCATATTTCAGAGTCATATGGGGCCATGAGATTTACCCCTACCCTCTCCTGTAGAGGCTTCCAGGCTGCTACACTGGTGGAGGTTCCATTTCCTTATCTACTCAGTCTCCACAGTGTTTCGCTCCTCTTTTTCAGTCAAGGTTTTTCCTGCCTGTCCCTCAAATATCACTTTCAAACCCGCCTTTCTCACATGGGTGAGCGCCCTGCCAAATAAGTTCCTCCCTTCCCACCCTCTGCCAGGAGCCTGTCATTATTCCATTCTGATCTTTGGTCAGAAAAATAATCCTGTTTTTGGATACCACCAATTTCTCATACTCTTCCAAAAAAACTTACAACTGAACAAAAAAAGTAAAGCCCCCACCACACACCCACTACCCCTAAGCATTTTCCTCCTTCGTTTCCTGGCCACTCTTCTCAAACACATGATTGGTGCTTACAGGCTCTTGTCCCTTCCCACATGTCACCCACCCGGTCTCATTCCCAATCACACAGTCTGCAGAAAGCCCACCTTCAGGGTCACAGTGGCTCCATTCTGTCTGATTTTTTGCCTCTTCCAGGCCCCATCTCTTGGACTTCTTGTAGTTCTGCAGTTGTGCTGATCTCTTCTTCCTTTCTAGATGTTTTCTAATTTGCGGGGCTAGAGAAAGCATGGATTTGGGAATCAAGTCAGTCTAGGGTAGATGACCTCTGCTCCATCCCTCCAGGAAGCCTTTCTGCCCCTCCTTGGGCCCCCCCAGCCCCACTGTTACAGATGTTCATAGCCGCTGGGCTCTCTTGCCCTAAGACAAGTTACCCAGCTGAGTCTTGTTCCCTCTGTCTGTAAAGCAGGAAGAATGACACCCAGAAATGGGAGATGGGAATGTGGTAGTGCTTGCCTAGTGCCCAGTGCCTGGCCTCTGGTAGATATTTACTAATTGTTATTTCCCATCTTCCCCCGCCCCCGGCTCACTTGCTTTTTCTTCTTTGATGGTTCTTGCCCCTCTCCTCACCACCACAGCCCTTTCTGTACACTCACTCCCATAGTATATCAAGCCCTCTATAAGGGTAACTGCCAATGTCTATCTTCGGGTGAGTTGGGCTCCACTCCTGCATTGCCTCCTGCTGGGGTACATTTCTATTCAGAGGTCAGCTCAACCTCCGAGTGACCCAATTTTGAACTCATCTTATTCACCACCAAATCAGATCACCCTTCCTGTTTCCCTTTTTCTGCTAACAACACAACCACATGAGGAGCTATTGTAGGAAATGGGGCTGTTTGTGAACAAGACTAAATTTGAAGGGGGGACATGGGATCAGTCCTGTAGAAGAGGTAATAGAAAAACTCTCCAGAAGGCTGCACAAGAGGTTAAACAGGCCAATTTGGGCTTGATCTAGGCAAAGCATACAAATGAAAAGAGCTATTCAATAATAGAAGTGTAGTTCCCAAGGATATAATGAAGCAGATAGGGAAGCCACAGAATTACTCCTTTGGGGACCACAATAATATAAACATTAAGAACTACTGTCACTGAATATTCAAGAGGTTTCCATAGGCATGACTTCTGCAAACTACAGAAACCAGGACTTCTAGGAGTGTATATTTCAACCAAAGCATTCATCTTTTATTTAAACGTACACTCTATCATAACTTTTAATCAGTCTTAGGAATTATCTGAGCTTAAGGATAGAATTGGGAAAGAAGAGGTCCTGATGCAGTTAAAGCCAGTAATTTACAAGTATAGATCTAATCATACCACCTCACCCTTAAATCCTTTTGGTTACACTAGACATCAGATTCTGGGCATGTTTGGCAAAATCCTTAAGCTACAGCACTTGTTGCTGAGAATAAGGAAAGCAAATTAATGTTGTGTGTTGTACTAAGACAGTCTGAAAGCAGCCACAGGCAGAAAAGACCATCATGTTTGGAACCACCCAGAGCAGTGCCTGAGTCAGTGCCACTTCCTGTGTCCTTAGCCAGATCCTTCACCACTTTGAACCTTAGTTTCCTCATCTTAGAACGGAGAATTAAAGACTTACTTGGTCTGGGTTGTGGGGAGGATCGAAGGAGCTAATGACTCCCAGGGCTGGGCACAGAGCCTGATGCCTTAGTAGGCAAGTCATTCATTCATTCATTCATTCATTCCACATATAATGAGTACCTGTTATGTGCTAGTTACCATTTTGGGCACTGGGGGTATACCAGTGAACAGAACTGATAAACATCCCCTCCTTAGGAAGCACACATTCCAGTGGGGAAGGGGCAGGGAGACAGATAAATCAAATCATTAAGGCAGATTTACAGGATGAGAGATAGTGGTTAGTGATAGCAAAGGAATAAAGAGGGGAGGAGAGACAGTGCTTTGGGAGTGTGATGGTGTGGGGGTACAGGACTACTGGTTTAAATAGGGTGGCCAGGTAGGGCCTCACTAGGAGGGCAGCATCTGAGATAAGTAAGACCTGAGGTGATGGAGAAGTGTGTTGCAGGGAGGGGGCCTCAAGGGCAGAGGCCTGATGAGGGCAGAGGGGTGGCAGGGCCAGATCACGTGGGGCCTCAGAGGTCATGGTCAAGTCTTTGGCTTTTCTGTGAGTGAGGTAGGAGCCATGGGAGGGTTCTGAGCAGAGGAAGCACTCAATCCCAATGCTGCTGCCTGCAGTGGGCCTCCCCCTCAGCATCCTTTGGTTTCTACGGGAAGGGAGCCTGGCAGCCCCTGACCACGAGGGCTCTAAATAGTGGACAGTCTCAGAGCATGCTGCTCCAGCCTGACTCCTTGGAGACAAACAGGTTTAGACAGTTCTGCCAAGAGGTGGATAAGGAAGAAAAGGGCAAATGCCAAGCTGAAAACAGAACCCAGAAATCCCTTCTCAGCCTTATACTGCCCCATGATCACCCCTTTAATCACTCCATCTCAAAAAAGCAAAATGAGTGGCAGCTTTATTCCAGGCCCTGATGAGTTCTAGCAAGAGTGTAATCGCACAAGTTAAGGGGTGGTGGGAGAAAATTCCATTCAAGACTAGGTCTCAGCTGCCCTCTTTCCCCAGGATGTCACCCTCCAGTCTCCCAATGGCGAGATTCATTGCCTTGTGAGAAACTATTACTTTATTCGGACTCTGCCTATAGCTGGCTGGGTGACCTTGAGCTGGTCACTTGACCCGTCAGAGCCTGTGTTTCCTCATTGGTACCATAGGGTTAGTAATCCTCTTCCTCTAGGGTGGCTATGAGGATGCAATGGGTTGATAATACTTAAACCTTGGTATATGCAAAATACTGGTGATCACTTCCTTCTGCTGACTAGCTGTAACCCCAGGCAAGGCAGGCCAAGTCCTTGATGTCACCTGGCTGGGAGGGCGACCTGGCTAGAAGTGACACACCTGAACTCATGCCTCCCACATCCTTCAGTAACAGAAGCAGGCATCTTGGAGGCCCGAGCCAGCCCTGACAGCCAGCTACTCCCTTCTGAGGCAGTGTCTGCTTCTCTTTCCCTTTGCCCATCTGTTAATTTTCTTACAGGAGCTCAGTTAGTGAGCTCACTGAGAGAGAGCAACTAGGCCCCAAATGGTAGTTTGTCCTTTAAGGGATCATTGCCCTTCTGATTAGATGTGATTATGAGACACTTTAATTACCTCTTGGTGATGGGTAAGTAGGGAAATGGTACCCAAAACAAAGAATATTTCTAGGGCAAAGTTTAGTTATAAAATGTATTTACACCATTGAGTGGGAATGAAGTTCTTGCATTTGCCAATAGCTGATATTCCCTATGGCACTGTTGCCAGCCCTGGGGCTTCCCCTCCTGGAGGCAGGCTGGGCTCCTGGACCACTCTCTGGTCTCACTAAGGCCTCTGGAGCCTTCCCAAAGAGGGTAGAGTTAATGGTGGACTGGGGGGCCCCCCACTGGCCTGAAGGGCTTCTTTGGAAACAGCCTGAGAGTCTGCAGGGCTGAGAACATGGCTCTGTTGTTTAGAATGGCTTGTGGACTTTCCTGGGCTGCTACAGACTCCTGGGAGTCATACTGCCCCTAGACAGTGGGAAGGACACCAGTGGGACCTTGGTGACCCTCCATTCTGGCCTGCCCAGGGCCGCCATCCTGCTCTTACTCTGTCCTGTTGTCCTCTGAAGGATGTGTCTTTGTGGGAGATCATATGCTCTTATTTTTGGAATCACAAGAGTCACTTATTTGACAATAACATATTGATGGCTGTGAGCTAAGCTTTGGAGCTCTTGGTTGCTATAGTGAGAGCAGAAGGACTGTGAGTCTGTGGTTGTACACAGTGGGGCCGGGACAACCCAACTTGTCCCCTGGCCTCCTGTTTGGAGGAATTTCATGCTCCAAGTGGTAGGGAAGAGGATTCCTGACATTCATCTGCCTGATCAGCCAACCTTTCCAGCATGTATGTCCCCCTGTCACCTTGGTACAGGAACCCCCTTGGCTGGCCTGGCCTCCCGGAACCTCTCACACACCTTACTTATGGTCTTCCCACCTGCATGTGTGCTGCTTGGCTCTGGAGTCCTCTCTGCAGGTCAGAAGCCTGTCCGTCTGTCAGGGTCTGGTTCATGTTCTTTCCAGGTGTCCTCCTTTCACGGGAAAGGCTGTTTGCCTCGAGAAGACAACCATATAATGTTAGAACCAGGTGGCCCTGAAAGATCACTGCATAGCAGTTTTCAAACTGTTGTTGTGGAACCCTGTTGGGAACACCCTTTCAGGGCCTGGGGCTGGGCAGGCCCTGCTCACTGGAGCAGTGACACTTTTCCTTAAGGTGTCCTTGAAGGAAGTGCTAATCGGCTTTAAACCACATTTGAAACCTGCTGGTCTAGTCCAAGCTCCACATTTTATAGATGAGAAGACAGATGAGGTCTACTGGGGGTAGGGGGGTGTCTTCCATAAAATCACCAGTGGATAAGTGGTGGAAGCACAGTGGGTCACAACTCTGACCTGTGAGTTCAATTGCTTAGTTCCAAGTGTGGTTCTGCTTTTTCCTAAGAGAGTTACTTCACCTTGTGTAGAGTAGTAATATACACCCCCAGTCCCTGTTCTGAAACCCTTGGGGCCACATGTGTTTCTGAATGCAGAATTTTTCAGAATGTGGAACATATACTAGATTATATGGCGCTGCTGGTGGGGTTTAGGGGCAGCACTGCATGAAACATGTCAGTATTTCTGATTCAAAACGTATGAGTTGTCATTGCAGAAGGGGTGATAGATCATAGTTTTGTGTTGGTTCAGTTGAGGCTTTGCTGCCCAATCAATGAACAACAAAAATCAGCTTTTGGTTTTTAGAGAGTTCTGGATTTAAAAAATTACGGATAAGGGATTATGAACCTGTAATAATAGTGCCAAACTTGTAGGGTGGTTGTAAAGACCAGATGAGAGGGAAGGAAAAACCCCAACCAGCACCCCCTCCTAGAAGTGCCGGTCAGGTGCCTGTGCGGGGTGAGCCTTCAGCGGCGGTTTCTGGCGGGTGCTGTTGTCCCGTCCCCCGTTTCCCAGTTCAGGGCTCTTTCTCCCCGACACCGCCCGTCTCAGTGTGCGTCTTGTCTCCTCACCTAGGTGGTTGGTGTCGAGAGGACAGAGGGCTGTGTGTGTGTGTGGTCATGAGCTGTCAGGCTCACACTTGGTGTGCCGTGCTGAACTGGCCCACAGGACTTTCTCTAGAGGAGGCCTCAGCAGTCGGAACAGGAGAAGTGAGAAGGGCCTTTGGAAAGGAAGTGAGGGGCAAAGTACAGTGGCTGTCCCTGAGAAGTGGTGTTCTGTGAGGATTGGTGTTTACCTCTGGGGCTGGTGTTGTCAGGTGGCCTGAGGACAGCCAGAGGTTGTCAGACCGGTGTTTTCCACTGCGCTCACTGTCTTCCTGACTGAGTCCAAGTTTGCTCAGTTCTCAGCCTCTCCAGTTGCCTGCCTCCTGCTTCACTGTCGGTGACCCTGGGCTCTGGCCTCGTGGGTCTGCTCCCTTGCCTGGGATTGGCTGAGGTATGAGCATGTGAGTGACTTAGGTCCTGCCAATGAGACATTAGAGGCATTGGTGGTAGGAGTGGGCTCCATACATGCCTAAGAGGGAAGAAGGATGGTCTTTCTTTTTCCTCTGGGAATGTTGTTCACTTTTGAGGCCTGGAGCTGCAGCCTTCTCGTGGCCATGAGGGTATCTGGCCTAGGAGTGAGGCTGGCCCATGAAGGGTGGGTAGTGCAGGAACACAGGAACATGATTCCCAACGACATTGCTGAGCTGCTGATGGCTCCACGCCTGGAGCGGTACCCCCCTGGACTCCCTTTTGTGTGAGAGAATGAATGCCTTGTTGAAGACATACTGAGTGGTGTTCAGTCAGTATTTGCTGCTGAAGGCATTCTAACTGGGGCACTCCCAGCTGCCAGGCCAGCTTTGAACTGGGTACTCCATCAGGAAGCATGGGGTTAGATGAGGGCCACACAACACATAAAAGCAGCCACAGCCACAGGAAACCTCATGGTGTGGCTATAGCCCCTATCACCCTCCTGTTTTCAGGTCCTTCCCTGTTCATCAAGCATAGCAGAGGGTGTGCACATGTCAGAACTAAGCAGAACAGGTGTTTTAGTCCTTTCAGAAGCCTGCCAGAGGTCAGAGTCCATGTGCATTTGCCCTTTGACTGACCTGTGCGATCACTTGATCCTCTGAGACCTTAGTTTTCCTGACTTCAGAGGTGTTAAAAACAGTGCCAGTAGGAAAAAAGAATGAGCAAGCATCTGTTGAGCTTTTGCTGTGTGCCATTTTCTGGACATGAACTTATACAAGGTTGATCATCACAACTGCAAGAAACAGGGTCAAGGTCATAGTGCTCAGCCAGGTCATGAGCAGACGAGGCTTGGAGACGTCCTGAGCTGATTCTACCCGCTTCCGACTCTAGTACCATTATTCTTTCTACGGCACTAATACTTTTCTAAACTGATTGGATCCAAGACTCACCAAGCCAGTTTGTTAGAACCCAGATTGTAGGGCCACACTCATGGGGATTCTGATGCAGCAGGTCTGGGGCAGGGCTGGGCTTCTGCAGTCTCAACAAGCTCCCAGCTGATGCCAATGTTGGTGGTCTGTGGACAGGCACAGAGTAACACCGAACTAAGGGAGTCTGGGCGTTATGGATTCTCAGGCCTTTGCTCTGGCGTGGTGGGTCCCTGGTCCATGGTAGGGGTGATCTGCATCCTTAAATCGAGCCTTAGGTGGTTTGTGTGATCAGTCAGGTCTGGGAGCCTCTCTGTTTACTCACAGCCCTGCACTTAGCACCAGAAGGAAGCTCACAGCTTGAGGCAGTCATTCAGCCTGGGCAGCTGAGTCACCTGAGGGCTGGTAAGCAGCTCAGTTTCCCAGGGTGGGCTCAACTTCTGCTTTGGGGGGTTCTTCGTGGGGCTGGAATTCAGGAAGCAGGATTGTTAACTAGCTCCCAGGTGGTTGTGGCTCCGGGAGTCCTAGTACTAGGCTGTGAACATGACTGTCCAAGTGGTGGGACAGAATGTCTCCTTGAGGAGAGCAATGACAGCATCGTTTACAGGGCTACAGGGTGCAGCTGGGTTCCTGGGGGGGCTAAGGTTCGGGTGGGTTTAGGTGGCAGTGGGTAAGGCCTGGCAGAGCACCAGGATGAGGGTTTTGGGCAGAGTTGAGGCTTTAGGATGACTGACTTGTCTCAGTTGGCCCGAGACTTCCCCAGTTTAGCCCTGAAAATCCCTCGTCCTGGGAACCCCCTCAGTCCTGGGCAAGCTCATCCTGTCAGGTGGATGGAGGCATTGTAGCAAAGGGGAAAGGAGCATGGTGCAGGAGAAAGCAGTGGGCTTTGTCCTGTTAGACCTGGGCTCTGATCCCAGGTCTGCCATCTTACTGCTTGTCTGGCTTTGGGTGAGGTAGTCAGCTTCTCCCAGCCTCTGTCTATCTCAAAGGCTGTTTTGAGGAATAAATGAGCTGATGCTGTTTTAGGCATCAGCATTGTCTGAAGCAACCTGACTGATGGAAAGGTCCAGACACTCAGTCCTGTACAGGGGGAGGAAGCCAGCAGGGCAGCAGTGGCTGCAGGGGGACTGGGGAGCGTGGATGCGGACAGGGCTTCTGGTGCACTGCGTGCGGCTTACGGCCTGCATCTGATGACAGTCGGTGTTAGCTGGGCTCAGAACTAGTCAGTGCAGAGCCAGGGCTTCAACCCAGGTCTGAGACCCAGCCCCCCACAGTCCTCTCCTAGCCATTCATTCTGCTTTAGTGAGCCTTGCATAGGGGGTGGGGGCACTGTGACGTGTAAAGGGGACACAAAGGTGAATGTGGCCTCTGGGCTGTCAGCCCCAGGAGGACAGGGCTCTTCTGCTCTTTTGCTCATGGTTATGTAGCAAGCACCAATAACATGTCTGGCACACAGGTTCTCAATTAATTGTTAAAGGAACAACCTCAGCCTTTAAGGAGTTAACTTGGGTTCATTTACTCATCAGATAGCTGCTGAGCCCCCACTGTGTGTCAGCCCCTGTCCTGAGGACCTGGAATGCAGTGATCACTAAGACCATCCTTATGCTCAAGTCTAGGACACAGAGGCTGGGCATACATGTATGTGGTCAGGGCTTGAAGTGATAGAGGACAAGGGCTGTGGGGTCACCCGAGATGCTAGGACTCTTGGTGTCGTCCCTAGGGGGACTGTGTGGGGCCCTGCCCTCCTGGGGCTGAGTGGCTGATGGATTGCTGTTTGGGCTGACTGAATGCCTATGACCTTCTCTCCCCATGTCTTTTGTGCACTGCAGGGTGGACCCTTGCTCCTTTCCCAGGGGTGTTCTGGGCCTCCTATGTTCTGCTGACCATTCCTGTCCTGCTCTCCTCACATATGGGTGGCTCAGCTGCTTTGCTGTGCGGCCTGCTCCCTGAGACCTGCCCTCTCTGGCCCTCGCAGGATCCAGCCTATCAGGAAGCAGTGTTTTCTGTGAGGGCAGCTGGGTGTAGGGGGAACATCCAGCTCAGTGAGGTGACAGTGCTGGTGGTGCTAAGCCAGGGGTCTGCAGTAAATACCACTCCCTTCCTGTTGTCCACTGGGCCAAGGAAGTCCGCTCTTGGGCTTGGAGGCCTCTGAAAGTGGGTCCCTCAGTCCCTTCACAGCTGTCCATGTCCTGTTGTAGCCTCCGCCCCTGCCCCACCACACACACCACTTGTGTCCAGGCTCCCTTCTCCCTGGAGTCTCACTTGGAGAAATTCCTCAAGCCCGGCTCAGACCTCACTTCCTTCTGACACCCTTCTGAGTTTCCTGGTGGCCTGTCCACACCACCAGGCCAGGACCTGTTGAGACTTCTCTCCCTGTAGATCGTACTTTCCGAGGGCAGGGACTGAACTGGGACTTGGAGTCTTCAATAGATGCTTGTTGACTCGTGTGGGTGTCCGTGTGCCTTGTCTGAGTGGAGCTGGCTTCCTGAGAGAGCTGTTCCCAAGCCTTCTGAGGTGGCCTGATAACATCCCCCGCCCTGCTGGAGCCACATCCTGCCTTGCTGAGCTGTGGGGATGGGCCAAACCAACTCCAAGCTAATGGCCTTTAAGTTACCTTTCCTTTCGTTGACGAGGTTTCTCTAGGGGAAGCGTGTGTGTGTGTCTGTGTTGGTCCAGTATACTTGTCTATTCCGCCAGCTCAGTGCAAGTACTGTCTCCTGTTCCCATATTTTACCCTCCCACCCTGTCCTTCCAGCTTCTCCATGTGTATAGACATGGTGAGGAGGCTTTGGCATGAAGCCTGGACTCCGGCTACCAAGATTTTCCCAGAATATTGTTTCTGCTAACTTAGTTTGAGCTCCTAAATTTTTGTTGTATGCTGTCTTTTTTTTAAATTTTGCTATCATTAATCTACAATTACATGAGGAACATTAGGTTCACTAGACTCCCCCCTTCACCAAGTCCCCTCACATACCCCATTACAGTCACTGTCCATCAGCATAGTAAGATGCTATAGAATCACTACTTGTCTGCTCTGTGTTGTACAGCCCTCCCCGGTGCCCCCACCTACATTATGTCTGCTAATAGTAATGTCCTCCCTTTTTTCCCCTTATCCCTCCTTCCCACCCATCCTCCCCAGTCCCTTTCCCTTTGGTAACTGTTAGCCCATTCTTGGGTTCTGTGAGTACCATCTTTTATTTTACATGGATGCTGCACAGAAAGGGGAGTGTGGGGTTGATGCGCGCACGCTCCGTCGTTGGGGGGTTGGGGGTGGGGTCCGCCCGTAACGGGACGCTGCGCAGGCTTGTCCCACCGGCCAGCGCCGCCCACTTCCGCTGCCCACCGTGCATGCTCGTTCCGCTGGCCAGCACCGCCTACTTCCGGTGCCCGCCATATTTCCTTCCTACTGTGCAGTCAGGTGCTGCAGAGAGGGAGGCTTCCCGCCAGAGCCGGCCCGTTGCTCACCAGTGCCTCCCGCTCACACCGTCCCCGCTGGCTGCCTCCCCGCCGCCGCCATGGCCTCCTCCCGCTGATATCGCCGTTGCCCGTCAAAGCCCTGCGCAGCCAACAGCTGCTGCCTCCCGCCAGCTCCGGGGCCCACCTCGCCAAGAACCCTGCGCCCTCTTTCCCACTCAGGCCGGTTCTCCCAGCGGTAGCTCACCGTAAGCAGCCATCCCCAGGGGGCAGGCGGCGTTGGCTCAGGGAGGGATCGGGTAGGGAGGAGTCTGCTGCGGGGAGCTGCGGGCTGGGGCGCCTCAGCGGCGGGGTCTGCGGCTGGGGGCAGAGTCCAACCCGCCGTCTGCAGGTGCGCTGTGAGAGGCGGCAGAGGCAGCGGCGGGTGGCGGGGAGCGGGGTCAGCAGTGGGAGGCAGCGGGGACGGGCTGTGCTCCATGGTGGGCCGTGGTGTCTGCAGGGTGGGACACGCAGGTGTCTGTGCCCGAGGCGGACCTCCGAGGCTGCCGTCGGCTGGTGCACAGCCAGAGGCGAGGGCAAGGCGTTGGCGGCCTTGGCAGTGGGAGGGCAGGGCAGCGTCCATGGCTGGCGATGGCGTCTGTTGGGGGCGGCAACTGGTGGTGGTGAGCGACGGTTGGCGGCGGCTGGCCGTGTTAGTTGGTATCTGTTCCGGGGCGGAGGGGCAGCAGCATAAGGGGACGGCATCTGCCTGCAGCTGACGCCCAGCATGCTCCCCTCGCCATGCAAAGCCAATAGCCTCCCACGCTGCTTCCCTCCACCAAAGCGCAGCCACCCGTCCCGGAGCCCACCTCTCTCCTGCCCCTGCCTGCCGATGCCTCTCGCTGACACCTGCCCTAGACGCCTGCCACCACCGCTGCCCTCCAATGCCTTCTCCCACTGACGCCGACGTCGCTGCCTTGGCCAACGCTCACGGCCCTGCACTGCCAGACGCCCTCAGACTCGTACCACTGCCAGCAGGGACCCCCTTACCAGGGACCCGGCTCCCTGGTTCCCATGCAGGCCTCGCTGCCTTGCAGCAGCCTCAGGTCATAGTAACCACTCCCATGTTGGCTTTTTTATCAGGGGGTTTGGGGGTGTTGCATGGGCCCTGGGAGGAAAGTGGAAAGCTGTGGGTGGGCATTGGAAGGCCATGGGCAGCACACGCACCTACCCAGCTGAGGTGACTGGGTCTCAGCCGGGAACTCCCCAAGCCTGCCAGCTTCTCTGACTTAGAGTAATGGTTTGGATGTCTGATTGGTGGGCACGCGGGCATGGCTGCTGCAAGGGTGCATCCACGGGGCCGGGGGGCCTCCCAAATGGGTCAGCGCAGGAGTCCAGAGAGTGTGTCAAGGTCCTTGCGGCTGCGTGGTGGCTTGGCCCACTGGTGAGTGCATCGCTGTAGTGTCAGCTGTCCTCCTTCATGTGTCTGTGTGTGTGGTAGCTCTTGCACATGTGGTGGTGTGTGTGTGTTAGAGCACTGTGCGGCCTGGTACAGTGTTTGTGTCTGGGTGCCTGTGCACTAGGAGAGCTTGAGGAAGGCAGCTGGCTTTCCATAACTACCTAGCAGAGAGGTCAGGTGGGGAGACTGGGGCGGGCTGCTGGGGAGATTGGCCTCAGCAGGGAGGCCCCTGGAGCATGCATAGTCATAGGTGAGAGCATCCTTCCCCACCCGCTTCCACCTGCCAGGTTGCCTGCAAATCAGGGCTTCCCCTGTGACCCACTCTCCCTGCTTCCAAAAAGGCATCTGCTAGTTGACTTTCCCTTCTTAGTGGGGAAGCTCAGTGGGTCAGGTTCACCCTCTTAGTGACATTTTTGTTTTTCCTATGAGGTCTCCATGGGGAACAACTTCGTCTCTCTGAAGTCAACTCATGAAAGTTCTACTTGATCCATTTCTGCAAGCATCTGCTGTTCCCTATCTCCAGGGTCGCATGAGGCAGGTAGGTAATTCCTTTTAGCATCCTTAGCAAGCCACCATTCAGTGCCCTTCCTCATTCCATAGCATGACAAAGAGCACAGCTGTTTTCCGAGAAACCTCCTTCCTGCTTTCCACAGTGGCTGCACCAACTTGGAGCCGTTGTCCCACCAGCGTTCCGTTGTCTCCACATCCTTGTTGACACCTGTTATTTTTGTCTCTTGGATTTTGGACATTCTGACTGATGTGTTGTGACATCTCAGGGTTTAGTCTTGCATTTCTCTGATGATGAGTGATATTGAGCATCTGTTGGCCATCTGCATACCTCCTTGGCAAAAATGTCTTTGAAGTAGGTGAGGGGTGAGAAAATGAGAATATTTGATATCTTGATCTAGGCGATGGTGATGTGTGTACATGTGTCAGAATTCATCGAACTTTACGATTTGTGCATTTTATTGTATGTATTTTGGTGTAAAGTTTTTTAAGAGTAAAAATTGCGGTCCTTTGACAAGGGTCAGTGTTGGAGAGACACACTGTGTATTCTGGCACTCTGGAGGTGAACTTGGGCTGCTCTAATATACATGCATCTGTGGGTGTAGGAATGGGTAGTTTCTGTCTTGCTGCCATCTAGGCAGGCTACTCAGTGAAATGGTCATTCCTGCTTGCTGATGCAACTCAATCTGGTACATGCTATTAGAAAATTCATAAATAATGAAGTACAGTATAGGAGTTAAAATTTTGTTCCATGGTGCCATCAAAACAGAGGGTAGCTTTGGGACAGAGAGGGCGAGGAGGCCTGAAGTGCACATAAACCCCTGGCCCCCCTCTCCTTGGAATTACTTACAGACCCTGATGGGCACCATCAGCTTACCTGCAGTAAACGTCAGGTAGCATCAAGTTCATTCTCCCTCTAGGCTTGTGGCTCCCAAGGCCTTAGCCTGAGTTAAAAGGGGCATGCCATGGAAGTATAAAGGACTTAAACCTATAATTTAACTTTGACTAAGTTATGTAAATTTTGCTAATACTTCAAAAATTGAGAAAGAGGTTATGATACTGGCTTGAAACCATTTTTTGGGGGTTTGATTCCTTGTTTGCTTAAGTTTACGAAGGCAGGCTCCTTAAATGTATGGTAAGGTGGGGAGCAGCTGTGTAATCATTCAAGATTAGTATTAGTTCTACTATGTGCACCTCTCATTTAGAAGCAAAAGCTTCTCAGGTTATAAAAATTATAACGTCATTTAGTGAAATAAAGGATCCTATGGACGACACAGTATTTCATGTTGTGTAAGCATCTGGGTAATCAGAATAACGTTTTGGTATTCCTGAAAGTCCGAGAAAATGTTGAGGGGAAAAAAATTATATTAACACCCACAAATATAATTGTAAAGTGAATCTTTGCTCATGTAGGGTTGAGGGTATATCCTGAAAATATAGGAAATCAATGTACAAATCCCCCCATAATAGCAAAAACTGCACCTGTGGAAAGCACATAATAAAATGGGCTCTACTACATAGTATCATGAAGAATAATATCTAATGATGAATTAACTAATACAATACTAGTTAAGCACCCTACTGTAAACAAGAAAATAAAGCTCAGGGCCCATAATATGGCCAGGGGTCATTTTACATTTCTGCCGTGCAGAGTTGCTAATCAACTGAATACTTTCATACCTGTTGGAATTGCAATAATTATAGTGGCGGAGGTAAAACAGGCTTGTGTATCAATGTCTATGCCTACTGTAAATATATATGCTCACATAATGAAGCCTAGAAAGCCAATTGACATTATTGCCCAGACTATGCCCATATACCCAAAAGGTTCTTTTTTCCCAGAATAGTAGGTTACAATATGAGAGAGGATTCCAGAGTCAGGAAGGATTAAAATATACACTTAGGGGTGACCAAAAATCAGAATAAGTGTTGATATAAAATTGGATCCCCTCCCCCAGCAGGATCAAAAAATGTATTTAAGTTGAGATCTTTTAAAAGCATAGTAATGCCGGCAGCTAGAACAGGGTAGAGACAGTAGTAGGAGTACGTCTCTTAACTAGAACTGATCACACAAATAGTGGAGTTTGATATTGGCTTATAGTGGGAGGTTTTATGTTAATAATAGTTGTAATGAAGTTAATAGGCCCTAGAATTGATAAGACACTTGCCAAGTAAGGAGAAAAAATAGTTAAATCCACTGAGGCCCTTGCATGTGCTAAATTTCCTGCTAAGCAATTTATACAGTTCAGCCGGTTCCAGCTCCTGTTTCGACTGTAGAGGATGCTAGAAGAAGAAAGGAGGGAGGGAGGAATCAAAAGCTTATGTTACTTATATGGGGAAATGCTATGTCTTGGGCACTAATTATTAAAGGCATTAGTCAGTTTCCAAAACCCCCAATTATAATAGTATTACCATAAAGAAAATGATTAAAAAGGTGTGCGTGGTTACACTTACATTGTAGATGTCACCACCTAAGAGGGTCCTAGGCTGGCCTAGTTCAGCACCATAAGGAGGCTTAGAGCGGGTTCCCACTATTCCAGCTCAAGTGCCAAAAAGAAGGTATAATGTGCTGATGTCTTTGTGATTAGTTGAAAATAATCAACGATTAATAACATGGGTAAGGTGACTGAATAAGTATTAGACTGTAAATCTAAAGGTAGAGGTCAAGTCCTCTTCTTGCCAAGTCCTGAGGTGTTTTACATACTGAATAGCAAATTCAGAGAAGCAGCTTCAATTCTGCCTGGACTTCTCCCGCCACCTTTTTTTTTTTTTTTTTTTTAGTAGATTGAAGCCAGCTGATTAGGGTTTTTGACTGTTAACTGAAGTTTCATGGGTTTGTATCCCATCAATCTAGTGAAGATTTAGCTTAATAAAAGTGTTTGATTTGCATTCATGTGATGGAGGATAAAGTCTTACAGTCCTTAGGATCAGAAATTAAGTGTTGTATACTTGCTTAGAGCTTTGAAGGGTCTCGGTCTGTGTAACCTAAATTTCTAGTTTAGAATTGATATGGTTGGAATTAGTGGAAGTATTATTATGGATAGAATAATTAGGGGTGGAGCTAATTTTTATGTGTTTTGTGGTTTCCAATCGTCACTTTTATGTTGTTGGTTATTGGGAATATTGTTCGTGTTGTGGAGTAAGTCAGTGCATATAAAAATATAAGTTTAGTAGAGCTATCACTGCTATTATTGGTAATATTATGTTGTTTCTGCTGAGTTTTTGAATGTTCATTCATTTAGGTAAAAATCTGGCTAATAGTGGAAGGCCTCCAAGTATAGTTAGGATTGTGAGCATAATGTTTATAATTAGGAGTGTCTTATTTGATAGGTGAGACAAAGATAAGGTTGTTGTCGATGAGTTGGATACTAGCATTATGAATATTGATAGGGTCATTATAAATTAGATTTAGAATAGTAATAGTTGGATTATATGTTATTATTCAACCTATGTGGGCAGTTGAGGAGTGAGCTATAATTTTTTGTAATTGTGTTTGGTTTAGACCCACTCAGCCTCCACTTAAAATTGAGAGTGTTGCTGTAGGTATTACCAATTTTATGTTAACTGTGGGTGAAATTTGACACAGAACTGAGATGGGTGTGATTTTTTGTCACATTAATATTAGTATGCCCTATGACAGCAGGGTTCCTTGTGCTGCTTCTGGAACTCAGAAGTGGAATGGGGCTATTCCCAGTTTTATGGCTATGGCTGTGCTAATGATGATAGATGCCATGATATCATACATTTTTGTAATAGCCCATTGTCCAGAGAATATGAGATTGATAGTGATGGCTAGCATTAGTAATATAGACACGATGGCTTGTACTAGGAAATATTTTGTTGTTGCCTCTATAGCTTGTGGATTGAATTTTTTCATTAAAATAGGAATCATAGCAAGTATGTTTATTTTGAGTCCTGGGGGAGACCTGGAGAGAGCCAGCTGGACTGCAGTGCTGGAGGAGATGCGGCAGTGGCAGACGCTGCCCAGGGACAGGAAAGGGAAATTGGAGAGAATTCAGGCGCCCAAGGCCCTGGGTTAGGAGTGGACGCCTGGCCTCACCTGCTTTTCCAGGAATGTGCTCTGGGTGTGGACTCAGCCCATGTGGGTCCCTCTCCTGTACAGCAGCAGCTGAATGCTGGTGTTGCTGGGCAGGTCTCTCCCTGGGTACTAGGTGAAACCTCAACCCGGATCGGGGACAGTTCTTGACTCTGATAAGGAAAGAATTCTCGACCAGGTCAAATGTGTGCCAGGAAGAAAGGAATTCATTACAGCAAGAGTAGAAGCAAATGTCAGCCCAACTGTGCAGGCAGTAGAGAGCAAGCCAAAGCAGAGGGAGAAAAAGAAAGTTCATTGAATTGCTCTCAGCATAGGGCATATTTCTTGGCAACTCCTGAAGCCAGGGTCACCTGGCATCCGGTGTCCACTTGATCTGCATGGCGTGAGACTTATATCCCTTCAATCCCAGAATTTGGGGAGCCATGGAACCCTGGATGGAGTGAGATTATGTTCTAAGAACTACTGCTTCCCCACTGGCCTTAAATAAAACAGGGAGAGAGAAAAGGATTGTAAAACTAGAAAGCTGAATGAAGTAGCCAAGTGACAGAGATGTTTACCCCTGGACATGGAGGTCAGAGGGTTTTTGTCTTGATTAGGTAAATAGTTCAGAGAGAAGTCCAGTTGGCTTGTGCAACAAGAAGGTTCATTTACTGTTAGACAGCACACATCCAGATGGGAGTGCAGGTGACCTGAGAGAGGAGGCGCAGTTAAGGGTCTTTTGGGTAGCTGTGGGCGTAAGGCATGCTGCATACAGGTGATTCCTAATTCCTTTGAAGTTTTGTCTTAAGACTAGGGTTATTCAGGGGACTATGCTGATCCAGATCTCAGCATTTTTTATCCCCCTAGGTTCATGTACACT